AATCCATAAGCAAATTTTTCAAACATGGACAGATTGGAGCAAGTATTAGTTAAACTTCCGAAAATGAAGTAACCAATGTTCGACGTTTTCCTTGGTTTATAGCGCAAACAATGCAGTCTAAATTCAAGATGCCAGAAAATATTAGCAAACCACCTTACGGTTTCGGTTGAGTTACGTTATGTTAATTATTTGCTATGATATCAATCAAATATTTCTTAATGAATGACTGTTTACAAGGTCATCTGCTCGCCGGAAGAAATGGCAGTTTGCAACCATAGTATCCAGTGTTGAAATCTTTTATTATCGCCTGAAAATACTTGATGCAATGCACCAAAAATTTCACATGGCAGCGCATGCGCAGACGAGTAGCGACATCTTGTGACTGACGCACACATTTTGATTCAACCATGATGGTCAACGACGAGAACGCAAAGCTTCACAAAAATGGTGTCCTTAATACTAACCTTCTACTTCAAATAAATGCAGAAAGCAAAAACTGCTCTTTAGAATACTGACACTTCTTGTCTATAGCCATGAAACGTTGCACAAGAGCAACAAACTCAAACATTCGCTACAAAAAGCAAAACTGAAAAATCTATTCAGCCTAAGCAACTTGCAAGACATGTTTGAGAAGGAAACTGCAAGGAAATCTGAGGGAGAAGTTAAGATGTTAGCAGAGATGCAAAACAAGTAGAATTCTAACTCACACTAATATCCGTGATAATCTGTAGAATTCTTCTCACAGCCGCATCTGTCTCTGGTACATCCAAAGGCGAGAGAGAGCGCTCCGTTATCTGTTTTGATGAGTGGTTACGTAGCTCTGCCGGGCTAACAGACTCACATCTGCCCTCTTCACTAAGAGCGCTCTCATCAGCGAGGCGCTCTTCTGGGCTACGAGGAGGAATCTGACCACAGCGCTATGATTTCCTTCAATCTTTAAATAAAACATAACCGTCACCTCCATATCAGATCCATTCACAATTACATCCTCGTCTCCACTGAACTCATCAACAGTACTATGACTGTAAGAGCGATTTTCTCTTTTCCTGGGTTTTCTAGGTGGACGCGATCGGCCACCAATTTCGTATTCCTAAAACATTAGAGAAAATATGATTGAGGATCTAACAATAGGATGAAGTTGAGGTTTTGCTGCAAGATGAAATTGAGAAGCGGATAAGTCTAACGAGTACGCTACGAATCCACCATCAGATGATGGAAATGAGCAAAGCGTCTCAAATAGGTTATCATAATTGAAGTTTGAGAATAAGGTTTACTGATAGCTGCAAAGTAGTAATGTGTTCAAATCAAACTCCAGTGATGTCTACCAAGCAAATTTTGCATTAAAATGAAGAAGGATAACCAGAAACTCGCACTTAGTCTGCTAAGACCGTACATTGTTCCTTTAGAAGGATCAAAAACAAATTAGCTTCTATATAGATGATACAGAACCTACTTTTAACGCTCCTGTACGTCCCAGTACGTCCATGAGTGCTTTTTGTAGCTCTTGACACCTAAAGCAAGTACTTGAAGGGATCACGGTCACCAGAGACTGCAAATGTAATTCGTGTCAAA